GCTGGCTTGCTGGAGTTTTCTTCTCCCCACCCATTCCCAAGGCTAATCAACCTGTGTGATGAAGTGATGAGATGGGCCAATATGTCTCCAAAGTAATGTGCTTTCTGGACTCTATCATTGCTTATCTGTCCCATCTTAATTTATCAATGTAATGATGTTGATATTGGCAATTTCTAACCTTGATTATCAGCAGTACACTGTAAGGGTTTAATAAATGTTTGTCAAACTGAGTGGATGATAGGTTGATGGGCAATATTTGGGAGGCATATGGAACTTTCCATAGATAAGCTTCTTATTCCAAGCAACCTCCCCCTCACCTAGTCTGCTCTGAATAACAAATGCACTTGAATGCTTCTTTGCTAATCTCACAAGTGCTTACATCAAGATTCTGCTTCATGGCCATCTGATAAACATCTGTTAGCCTTCATCCAAGGTCTTTCAAGACCTCATTCAAATGTAACTGATTCCTTGAAGCCTTCCTTGACAATGTATTCTTCCCCTCCCCAGAGTCACTCCCAGAACTGACCATACAGGAATATGGTATCATTGTAAAAATTAAAAATAATGTGGATAAACCAAAGGCTCTCTTGATCCAGCCCTCCTAATATAATATCACTCCCCTTTTGGTTACCAGTCTGCTGTGGAACATTCCAGACTGTTTTTCTCACTAACAATTTATTTGGGAAGTATTTTCATGTTAAAAGGGTTAATAATGTTTACCAGAGCAGTCCAGCTGCAGAGTGGACAGTGGGCCAGGCAGAGTACGTCAGCAGGAACTGCTGGAAGCTAGAAGCAGAGTATGTAACCTACACCTCAACTGTCATTCGAGGCTGACCCTTTGTTCGGGTTCAGCCCGCCTGTACACAGGCACATGCAATACAATAATTTTGCTCTACATTGGCCTTGCATTGTGAATGTGATCTCCCTCCAGCTCAGACCTTTTACATGTAGACTCTTCTCTACACAGAATTTATGTTGCTGTGGAGAATTCCCTAAGATAGGTATATTGTAGTTTAGCTACTCTTCTGCTATTGATGAATATTGTTCCTCCGATATTTTGCAACAACAGTGCCACAATAAATATCATTTTATATGCCTCCTTCTGCCTAAATGCCAAGTATTTCTTTTCTACAGAAATGCCTAAAACTGGCTGTCTGGGTAGAAGGTGTATATATATTTGTTTCTACCTATTTTTGTATTTGGTAATTTTCTTTTCTCATGCGTTGGTAAAAGTTTTTTGTGTATTTTGAAGAATAACTCTTAGTCTGATATACACATATATACACATAAAAAAATATGTATATATTTTTGTCCCCATTCAAAAAATCTTGCACATTGTGTATTTCATCATAAAAATTTCCTATCTTTATGTAGTCAAATTTATCAGTCTTTGTGGTTTGTGTTTTTCTTAGGAAGACTATCCATATGCCAAGGTTATTTACATTTCTATGTTTTTGTTATCCTATAGTTTTATTTTTTTACATTTAGCTGTTTGAATTACTTGGAATTTAGTTTTGTGTGTGTTAGGGGGTATTACCTAATTTTCTTTCCTTTTCTAAATCAAAAGTCAACTGATACAAACTATTTATTGAATAATAATCCATTCATCCTCACCCCCAAATTTAAATGTCATTTTTTATGAATTAATTTTTAAGCACATTCATGAATTTGTTTCTGTACTTTGTAGTATATTTTCGTAATCTCTTTGCTTATTTCTTGGTCAATACCACATTGTTTTGGTTACTATAGCTTTATCATATGTTTTGGTATCTTATAAGGAATCAATTGCCCTTTGGCTGTCTGTTTATTAGATATTTGATGGATAAGACTGAGTCATATTTGTCTTTAAATGCCTCCTTCTGCACAAATGCCAAGAATTTCTTTTACATATTTTGCATGAAGGTGTGCTGAATGATGGAAATGGATACATCTAGCCATTGGTGCTACACTTTGCATTGTCAAGGTCTCAAAGATCATGGTGAAAAATAACAACTTCGCCCTGGCCGGTTTGGCTCAGCAATTGGAGCGTCGGCCTGTGGACCAGAGAGTCCTGGGTTTGGTTCCCTCTAGGGGCACGTACCAAAAAAAAAGAAAAAGGAAAAATAACAACTTCCCCAGTTTTTGCTCCATTTTCTATTGCAGCTCAAAGCTTCAGTGAGTTATTTCATAGGAATTCTATGATTACTACTTATTTTGTTTTTAAATAAATAATACATCTACAAAGGTAAAAAAGTGAGAAGTGTCTTTTCTGTTTTTAGGAGGCAACTATCCTAACTTCTTCTTTAACTTTCCAGAATGGCAGCGTACTATCCACTCTGTTCTGCATCTTGCTATCTTTACTTAACAATATATTTGGAGAGTATCCCATATCAGTACATATCAGATGCTCTTCCATAAAACGGTTGTGCCATTCTATTGAACCAGGATGGAAATGCAGTTGTTTTAATAAAAATACTCTTTATATGCATAATGTTCTCAAATATCTAGAATAAACGTTCTGCACATGAATGGTGGGTCAAGGGTATTTAAGTTTTCAGCTTTGTTTTATATAAAGTTGCCCTCCAACAAGTGTCTAGAAGTTTACGAATGAAGCCCCGGAAGGCGCTGGCCACCAGGCTTTGGACTTGCTCAGACCTGCATCGAGGGGCAGGGGAAGCACCGCAGAAACGCGGGCTGGGACCCGACACCGGTGGCCTGCGGGTGTGCGTGCACACGCGAGTGCATGTGTGTGTGACGTACACACGGTAAGAAGGTTAAGGAAGAACTGTAAGTCAATTCGTTAGAGTTCTGTTTCAAGCTCTAATAATTAGTGGAAGTGTTAGTGACTGAATAAGCACCTGACTTTCCTATTCACTGGAGCCTAGCAGTACATAGTAAGTTCGCATTTCACAGCCCCGATGCTGCTAAGCAAAGCACAGAGCATTTCGTAAGGTCAACAATTAGAATGCTTCACACCAGGAGCTAAGGGACATTTGGTTTTAAGCTTACTAATGGGGACCCGAGCCTGTGTCCGGGCCTTGGGCTGGGTCAGGCGGCCAGGGGCGGCCAGCCCTGCGGTGAGGCTGGGCTGCATCGCGCAGGCGGGCAGGGCTCAGCCTCCTCGGACTCCTGCCGTCCCTGCCGTGAGTGTCCGGGTCAGCAGCCTTCTTACCCTCGTCGGCGACAGCTCATGACGTGTGGCTGGAAGGAGAGGTTATTCTACGTGGGAAAAGGGCTTTGCCTGTGCAACTGGGGGCTATTTTTGCCGTCTTCTTCTTAGGGAGCTGGTGCTCGGTTCAGACTGCTGCCTGCCCTGCCCGCCCCCCTCATTTCCATGTCGTCTGTCCCCTCTTTCCACCTCTGCCTCCACTGACGTTTGTCTGTTTTGGGGAGTTTCTCTTTCCCTGGTGTGTCTTTCTCTACACAAACAGAAAGAAACAAAACACCAAGCTCTCGTTTCTTCTTTCCACGTGGTAAGAGCAGAGATAAGATGAACCCTTACGTGGGCTTTCCTTTCTGTTCCCTACGTGTCTGCTCCCTATTTTTGAGGTGGCTCAGGACTGGCTGTCCGCAGTGAGAGGGGGAGGCCGGCCACTCTGCGTCACCTGGCTGTCCTCTCTCTGGCACGTGCCCCAGCCCAGCACCGCTCTCTGCTTTGTCCTCTGTGAAGGATGCCTCGGCCTGCCAGCCTCTGTGGGCTCTTCCTGGGTCATAGGATCCCTGCCTCTCCTTATGTTACCCTTCCGTGCCCGCCTCACCTGGCTCCCCGAGTACAGGGTGAGAACTGCCAATGAGTGCAGAGCAAATACCTCAAATAAACATGAGCCAAATGTAATCATACTTTGTAATAAGACTTTATTAGGATTAAGTCAAGTTAGAAAATTTCATGCTTTACCATTTGCTACAGTTACCTGGAATGGCCAGACCTATACTTAGCCGAGTATAAAACAATTTGTGCCCCTTGTTTGGAAAACAAGGAAACAGATACGGGTGGCAGCGTGCCTGACGCCGCCGTGGTTAATGCCGAAGGCCTGACAACTGGTCAGCAAAGCGTATGTTACTTCCAAGCTCCGGGCCCAGGGAAGATGTCATCCTCGACCTCCCTGAAGCAGACATACTAGCCCGGGCACCTGGAGCCAGCTTTTTGGAGTCTAGTATTAACATCTGTATTTCAAGAGAAGCTGGGCTTGAGGTATCTTTATAGCTTAAAGGCACAGGTCATGCAGCTGAGTTAAAAGCTATCGTGTTGGTCTCTCCGTCAGGGGTCAGGAGCCAGGCCTCGTGGGGAGAGTCCTGACGCTGCCTCCTGGGCCCCTCAGTGTGCTCAGTGGCCATCAGCACAGCTCCCCTTGCTGGGCTCCTGCGGGCCCCCTGTGCGTGCTGGGTGTGAGGACAGGGCGGGGCTCCAGAACCATCTCCTGCCCCGGACGGTGGCCTATGCTTCGGCATCTCATTACCCATCACACAGAGGGGCCCAGCGGAGACCCAAGACGTGACCCAAAGGCAAGCAAGGTCCGAGAGGCTCCTTCTCAGGGGAAAGAGCATGGGGAGAAGAGACCCGATCTCCAAGGCGGAAAGTAGGTTCGCCTTTAGGGCAGGGTGCACCCATTGAAACCGACCCCTTCACTCCCTGGAGCGGAGCTCGAACAGGACGCCACTGGACCGGAGGCATGGGCCCTGGAGGCCAACGGCGGCAGCACTGAGCACTAGCTGGGCTCTGCAAATAGCCCTGGGGTCATTAAAGGCAAGTGGGAGCCCAGGTCCCCAAAATATAAAACTTATCACTTACTAAATAACTGGGCATTCTCTCCGTTTGGAGCCATATATGTATGCTCAAAACTCTTTTTCTTATTTTTAAACTCTCCCTAGTGAAGGGAATAAAAGCCAACGTCTAAGCAAAGGGCCTGGCAGCTCAGACAGAGAAGAAACACCTGCAGACAGCACCCGGTTTCCCTCTTACAGCAGCTGGACCCGCCTCCCGCCCCACCCCCACCCGCCAACTTGTTAATGAAAATGGCTGCCGTCAAAACTTAAATTCAGTTGCATAATATAGAGGAACAGTGATACATTCTCCTTTCTTCAGGCACCAGAGGATACACATGACGAGGGTTTGATGCTCTCCAATTTATGCTCTGGACACATTTTCCCGTGTGTCCTCTGTGCCTCATCAGCGTGGCGTGTTCCTCAGGGGCCCTCACCACCTGCGGTCAACCTGCGCCGTCCACGCCCACTAACTCAGCTGGGATTGACCCGCGGTTCGCTCGAGCTGGAGTTCATAGCCGCCTAGGCCCAGGTCGCCCTCGTAAATGTTTTCCTTGTTTGGAGCCTGGGGAGCAGCTTTCTTGCCCAGATCCAGCCTCGCAGGGGGGCTGCAGGGGAAGGGGGACAGCTCCTGGTCACTCGCGGCTAGTTCGTCCTGATGCACGATGCATTCCGCATCCTCCGCCTTCAGCTGTTCCTGGAGTTCGGGGGAGAGACACAGGGAGAGTCACTTCGTGCCGAAGGCAGGAAACAACAGCCATCCTACTGTGTAGAAAACTGGGGTTTCTGTTGCTTTCTCTGAAGTGCCCTCAGTGCTGGCCCGCCGGGGCTGTTTCTGGTACAGCAGCCACCGCCTTCGCCATCTGTGGGTATGGTGACACCTTCCCCTGGGTCGGCACTGCGGACGACACCGCAGCACAGCCTCCGTGGCTGAAGGGAGCTCAAACGACATTTAGTGGGTTCCTTGAACTGCTACCAGGGCTCTGAGAGGATTTAGGGGTTACCAGGGCTCAGAGGATTTAGGGGTTACCAGGGCTCAGAGGATTTAGGGGTTACCAGGGCTCAGAGGATTTAGGGGTTACCAGGGCTCAGAGGATTTAGGGGTTAGCAGAATCCTGTGGTCTCAGAGCAGGGCGTGATGCTCAGAGTTTGTTTGTAACATTGGGATGCTGCTTTTACACTATCACAAAATTCTCAAAGCACATTATATATAATGAAATTCAATGGGGTTTCTTGAGAAATATATATTTTAATCCTCACCTGAGGATATTTTCCTGTTTATCTTCAGATAGAGTGGGAGGGAGAGAGGGGGAGAGAGAGAGACACATCGATGTGAGAGAGACACATCGATTGGTTGACTCCCACACGACCCCAACTGGGGCCGGGGACAAACCGCAACTGAGGTACGTGCCCTTGGCCAGAATCAAACCCAGGACTCTGGTCTGTGGGCTGGTGCAAACTGGCCAGGGCGTTTCTGTTATATTTTAAAAGTGAGTCTGCATAGCATGTCTCTCGGGATGAGTGTCCCAAGGCTACGATGACGGGAGGTCACTGCAGTGGACAATGGCATCACTTGGGTGGCTCTGGCCAATCTGGTTTTCTGCAGACAGGTTCCCTTGAAGGAAAGGACTGTGGTCTTAACCCTTCTCTCCTTGGCTTTGGGAAGGCCATGCAAGTCGTCGTGCAGTGAGTCCCGGCCCGGTGGCCAGTGCGGGGCCCAGTGGAGAGCTTCTTAGGGCACAGATGCTGACCCCGCACTCAGAGTGTAGGGGCGATCTGACAATCCACACTTCTCACAGTCCTGAGTGGTGCTGAGGCTGCTCTCTGGGGACCGGCTTTGGGACAGCTGTCTTGCGTGGGTGCCCTGCGTGCGTAGGGCAGCGGGCCAGCCTGGGTGCAGCCCCTGACTCCGAGCTGCTGCTGCTGCTGCTCGGCTGCTTCCGCCTCTCGCGTGAGAGTGACCCACAGGCTTTGTGTTCAAAGCTTCTGAACGCAGCAGTTTGGGAGGACATGGTACCTTTCCTACATTGCTAAATTCATTTTATGGTTAAAAATATTGGTAACAACAACAGCTTGCACTTTTCAAAGAAGAATGAGCCCACATTCACAGCAGTAGAGGCTTCTCGGTGCAGCGACTTTAAGACGCTTCCTGCAGGCGGGAAGGAACAGCCGCCCGCGCTCCCCGCGCTCCCCGGGTCCCACTGCGGCGCGTACTCACCCCGTAGGCCTGAGGGCTGGTGAGCAGCCTGGAAATCGGACTGCACCATTCGGGCAGCGTTGTGGTCAGCGGAGGCCCCGAGTGGGTTAAAATGGGTTTCAGGTATCTGGGAGGCCTGTTAAGGAATACTCGCCAAAAGGAGGTTCGGGTTGGGTTCCCACACCGCGCGGGCCTCTGCATGCAGCAGAAGAGACCGCTATGTTCACCTGTAGACCCTCTCCTCCCTCATTTAGGTGACAGCTGGGCCCGCAAACACTGGTGTTTACGATCCTTGCTCCGCACTTTCCCAGCCTCCCCGCAACCCTGAGTCGTGAAGGAAGGCGAGCCAGAGTGCTCCTCTCCCACGGGGGCTCCCCCGTAGGGATGTAGCCTGAGAGGGACCTCCAGCAGCAGCAGAGAACATTGTGTTTTCTTAAAACTGCTCACAGGGCTTAACCCACCAGGGATTTTCACAAAGGAGCAGGAGGTATTTCATAAAATGCTCAGACCTTTTAGAGCCGGGTGGTGAGCATGGATCGTTTCCAAAATGCTTTATATTTAATATTCAACGTGGCCACTGCATGTGTCACACATCAATGCCTCTGTACACACAATTATGTTTTAGAAAAGCAGGTGACAGGCTTGTTCTGTTGTCTAGCACCTGTTTTCTCATCTCGTCACCCCAACGAGCTCTAAGGAGTTAAAGAGGAACCTGTTCGTCTCAAGCTGCTCTGCCCCCCTCCGATCCAGCAATAATGACATCCCCAGGGGCGGTCTCAGGTTACCTTGTTACTTTTTTCTCAAACACAAGTAGCCAAATCATTTCACCATTCCATCAGAAACAACTTTTAAGCTTTATATTATTTCCTCTTCTGGAAAATATTTCACCTCATCATCTTCCCGAAAAGCTTCAATAACGAGGGAACGGGAAACAGCGGGCAGCGCCTCACTCTGGCTGGGTGGTGAAGGTCCGTCACCCAGGCACTGGGGACACAGCAGACCCTGCAGGGGTTTCCACTGTGCCCACCCCCGCTGGGCCCGGCGCTCTGCCCGCCTGCGATGCCCGAGTGTGCCGAACCCAGGGAACCTGCAGCCCACAGGGCAGGAGTCTGGTGGCCACTGGCCTCAAATCATCGGCCACCAAAGTGGGGACAAAGCAGGGCTGCTCCTGAACACAGCCTGGGTGTGATGCCAGCAGAGTGACCGAAAGATGCGGAAGAGGGTCTGTCATTCCAACTGCAAGTGGCAAACTTGACGACTCCCCTCAGACAGGCAGCCACTGGCCGCAGTCGGGGACTCGGGGGGACAGTGAGGGCTAGAGCCTGGGACATCTGGAAAGTATATCTGCAACTCTGGAAGGCCCTTGCTAATCTGCCACTAATTTTTATTAGCGTGTTGGTCCCTTCCTTTTTGGAGGAAGGAATTGAGGCCTAGGGCTAAAATGATTTTAAATCATCCAGAGGCCCCCTTGGCTGTTTGAGCTCCCGGCATCATCCCTGGTAGAAGCTAATTTTCAGGACAGAGTCATCCACGTGACCAGCAGGTGCTCTGGAGAGAAAAGCTCACAGACCTTGTTCATGGATTGGAAGAATCAACATCATCAAAATGTCCATACTACCCAAAGCAATCTATAGTTTCAATGCAATCCCGATCAAAATACCAATGACATCCATCACAGAATTAGAACAAATACTTCAAAAGTTCATTTGGAACCAAAAAAGACCTTGAATAGCCACAACAATCTTGAAAAAGAAGAACAAAGTTGGAGGCATCACATTACCAGACTTCAGGTTATACTACAAAGCCACTGTAATCAAAACAGCCTGGTACTGGTACAAGAACAGGCATATAGACCAGTGGAACAGAACAGAGAACCCGGAAATGGACCCAAGGCGATATGCTCAATTAATATTTGACAAAGGTGGCAAGAGCATACAATGGAGTAAAGACAGCCTCTATAACAAATGGTATTGGGAAAATTGGACAGCTACATGCAGAAAAATAAAACTAGACCATCAACTTACACCATACACAAGAGTAAATTCAAAATGGATAAAAGACTTAAATGTGACTCATGAATCCATAAAAATCCTAGAAGAAATGTAGGCAACAAAATTTCAGACATTATATGCAGCAGAATTTTGACTGATACATCACCTAAGGCAACAGAAACAAAGGAGAAAATGAACACATGGGACTACATCAAACTAAAAAGCTTCTGCACAGCAAAAAATACAATCATCAAAATGGAAAGGCAACCCACTGTATGGGAGAGCATAATTGTCAATGATATATAGATAAGGGATTAATTTCCAATATATATAGAGTGCTCATACAACTCAACAAAAGGAAGACAAAGAACCCAATGAAAAAATGGGCAGAAAAACTATATAGACACCTCTCCAAACAGGACATACAAATGGCCAAGAGACATATGAAGAAATGCTCAACATCACTAATCATCAGAGAGATGCAAATTAAAACAACAATGAGGTATCACCTCATACCTCCATCAACAAATTATCAAACAACAAGTGTTGGCGAGGGTGTGGAGAAGAGGGGTCTCTAGTACACTGCTGGTGGGAATGCAGACTGGTGTAGCCACTATGGAAAACAATATGGTGTTACCTCAAAAAATTAAAAATTGAACTTCCATTTGACCCAGTGATCCCGCTTCTAGGAATATACCCTAAGAAGCCTGAAACGCCAATCAGGAAGAATATATGTACCCCCATGTTCATAGCAGCACTATTTACAATAGCTAAGATCTGGAAACAGCCCAAGTGTCCACCAGTAGACGAATGGATAAAAAAAGCTGTGGTACATATACACAATGGAGTACTATGCAGCTGTAAGAAAGAAAGATCTCTTATCCTTTGAGACGACATGGAGGGACCTGGAAAGTATTATCCTAAGTGAAACAAGCCAAACAGAGAAAGACAAATATCACATGATCTCACTTATTTGTGGAATATAATGAACATAACAGTCTGAGGAATGGGGTAGTTCCAGAGACGTGGAAGTGGGGTACAGACTGACAATCCCCAGAAGAGGGGATGGTGGGGGAGAGATAAACCACAGAACTTATATGCATGTATGCATGAACAATGGACATGGACAACAAAGGTGGGGACAGGGTGGGGAGGGAGGGGGAGGGGGGAATCAGTGGGGGCAAAAGGAGAAACATCTGTAACAAAATTAAATTAATAAATTTAAAAAAAAAAAAGCTCGCAGACCGCACCCCTGCTGAGAGCTGCAGACCCGCTCACACACGTGCTCCTGAGGACACTTGAGGACACCTGATGTCATTAGGGTCTGTGGTATGCATAGGTCAGGGAAAAATGCTTTTCTTTAGGGAGATGGGAGAACAAGATAGATATACAACCTGAGTGTAAATCAAGGAAAATCCAGCCAATGTTATTTCCAGACGGGAAATTCCCAGCAAGGAAGCAATGTTTCTGGAGATGTCGTGTAATAAACAGAACCGGAGCCAGAAGCAGAGGCCTGTCAAGGCTCCGAGAGAGGATGGGCAACCTGCGCTGCTGAAATTCTTAATGTACTGATCAGTAAACATTCCAAATAACATGGCAAAAGTGAAATACAGACTTAGAACTGTGTAAGGAACATTTTCTTGTTTAATCCTGATGGGGTATCTCTCTCTTGTTTAATCCTCACCCAAGGATGTGGTTTTATTGATTTGAGAGAGAGAGAGAGAGAGAGAGAGAAACATCCCGGACATACCCTGACTAGGGATCAAGCCCCAAACCTAGGTATGTATCCTGACTGGCAATTGAAACCACAACCTTCCGGTGCAAGGGACAATGCTCCAACCACGGAGCCCCCAGCTGGGGCCTGCTGGGTGTCTCTTTAATTCTGTGCAGACATTATTGGAGCTAACACTTATGGACTAAATTTGTAGCTTCCTGTGAATCGAGGCCTGGACCAGCCGAAGGTTTGTCCCATGTGGACAGGCTGGCACGTCGGACCCGGAGACCTGGGCACGCGCCAGCCGCCCCAGCACTGTCCTGCCCATGTGAGCTGTGGTCGGCTATCTACTCCTCGAGCCTCCAGTATTATGAATAGCAACTGAAATAATATATGTAGGAGTGGTTTTAAACTCTTTTGTGCTATTTAAAAGATACTTACTTTGTTTTAAAATTCATTTTCAAAGCAATACTTCCAGGAGACACTGGCTGTTGCTTAGGCAGCGGTGGGAAATGATGCCCAGGGAGCTGAGACGGGCGGCCGGCCTTTCGGGGTGCGACTGGGACTCAGGCGGGTGGGCAGATGGAACCTGCCGGCTGCCTCCGTACAAAGGAACCACTCAGGCCCTGGCCAGTTTGGCTCAGCGGTTAGAGCGTCGGCCTGTGGTCCTGAGAGACCCGGGTTCGGTTCCCGCTAAGGGCATGTACCTCGGTTGCAGTTTGTCCCCGGCCCTGGTTGGTTGTGCGGGTGGCGACCACTCGATGTGTCCCTTTCACATTGATGTTTCTCTCTCTCTTCCTTTCTCTCCCTCCCACTCTACCTGAGCAAAAAAAAACAAAAAACAAACAAAAAAAAAAACAAAGGAACCACTCGGGTTAAAAGTTGTACGGGAGCTGGTGTGAGCGGTGAGAGGTGGGGAGCCTTTGCCGATGTCAGACCCTCCAGGAACCTCACGGCGCCCTTTGGGCTGATCCAGGGGCGGGAGCGGGTGGAGGGTGCAGGCGCCCCAGGCCACGCGCGGTCTGTCTCCAGCCTCGGGGTTTGCCCGTGGGGCTTCCTGCATGTCCGCAGGAGGAGGATGTTGAGGGCGGCGTGAGTGGGAAGGCAGACCGAGTACTGCAGGAGGGCGAGACGGGCGGGGTGCAGCCGGCCACGAGGTTTGCCCGCGGGGAAGGCCTGAGGAAGCCCAGCTGAAGGCGGACCCCTGGTCTGAGGGATTCGACACCGGAGCCAAGAAGGCAGTGGGTCGGCATAAATACAGTGCTGAACATATCCTTTGTGCTTCGCTCACTCATTCTCTCTCTTCTTCCAAACATTCACTTGTTTTTATTTTGTTCAATGGACCAAACTACTGAGGCACCCACGGAAGGAACTGAACAATTACCTTCTAGAGTAGCAACTCCCAGGTCTCCAGCCCGTGGT